TTAGAATTTTTACATTTTGTCGGTGGTGCATACTACATATATCTGTCAATATAAGTAGCATACACTACACCAGTACTATTGTGAACGGGAACACATGTGGGGGATAACTAATGTATTTTAACACAAAAAAACCAGAATATATTGGTAAAATATGAGAATCATACACTGAATACTTCATTTTCGAATTCATGTCACTTGTCTTTCACATTCTGTATGATTCTTTCGATTTACAATTCTTTTCGAATTCCGATCCTATTCTCATCAAGTCAACTTTCATAGCCTTCTGCTGCCAAGTTTTCCACTTCCGATTGATGTTACATACAATTTATGTCAATAGACATAAATAACATTCACTGATGTCATTGTTAATTTATACCCTTTAATGTTATTTATCATAATGAGCTGTATAATCCATTTAATTGTTATCGTTAATCAATAATATCATATATATAAAACTATTTATGAAATATAAAATGCTACATTTACTTAATTAATATTTTATTATTTATGTTTGCTGTAAAGGAAAGATAAAGGTAAAAAGTGGTGGTGACGAAAAGAATTCATTTGTGGAAGAAGAAACAGGTAACATAAAGTTTACTAGATATATTCTGAATTGTATAGATTGGAGTGACTGGAATACAATAAAAGAGTACAATATTTCTGGAACTGGAGGTAAACAAGAAAGAACAATGCAGTTCACAGTACCTCAAGGTGAAATGTAATAAATTCATATGTTTGTTTCCATATTTCTCAAATATTTTTACGTTCTTTTTCTTGTAATCTCGTTAGTATTAGAAAGTAATTATCTACACCATGTGGTTAATTTTCATCACAAATAAACATTAATTGGAGAACTTTTGAAACATAAAGAACAATGTAAGCAGAGATAAATGTTGTCTAGCAGTAGAATCTAGGACTCGTCAGCTGGATGCACCTGAATCCTTGAACTGATATTCACTCCGGGATTCAAACCCAGTAACATTCACTTCAAAAGCCAGCATGTTATCCACTTAGCTACCGAGTCCAGTTAGCCACTAGCTCGTGCAATGGAGTGAAGTTATAATTCGCTCTGTTATGGTTGTTTGAATCTTCTCATTAATGTTTAGGACTGAAATGATTATTTAGGAAATTTTCATCAGTACCATTTCACAATTTCATATGTAATTACACTCAATACTTTCAAGTCCCATTTCAGTTGACGTGCTATCATTTCATCATTTTATCAAAGTTGAAATGTTCATATATTTGAGTACAGCTAATCTATGATAGTTGACGCTGATCTTTTAATAACTAGGATGATATTTATCATATATCTATTAGTATTTACTACGATTTTGCATGAATAAAACCACCTCAAAGGTTAGCATGATGGTACAGGATAACCATACAACATTACAAGTATATAGTTGGATGAAACTAATCAATGTCCTAATTTATTTTCCGTTATTTTAGAAAAAGGATGGGAAGTTTTTACAGAAATCGAGAGTGAAGAAACCATAATACCACGTACTGTAAAAGTTACTAAAGCACCACGTAAAGGCAAGTCGTATTACTGTCCAGTTGCTTAAACGATATTTTGTTTTTATAAATTATGTAATATGTAAAATATGTCCTTACAAAACCTCTTTAAGTTAAAGATATGCTTTCGTATGGATAATTTCTTTTAAAAATTGCATGAATAACATCCATCACCAATCATAAACTTAATTAATTATTCTGATTTTTTATTCACTAATCACTTGATTACCATTTCCCCCAAGATTTGAATTATTCAATTTAAGTACATACTTAGCAATTTATAAATTGTAATCAGAGGGGGTTTTGTGGATAATATAATAACATTAGTAGCTAAATTCGTAAGTCAATTAAAGCTAGATCACCATGGAAAACCTGGAAGAACTCGATGGCCATTACATCCTACTGTGGGACTCCTCAGCAGTGCGCATTCACGATCCTGCCCCAGGAGATTCAAACACAGGACCTATCAGTCTTGCATGCGAATGCTTTACCACCGCCGGCATTCAGCGGTGTTAATGTCTCAATTCAGGCAATGCACGAAATCGAGCGACACATCCACCATTGTCTTCAGTGAGTTACTATCTCACAACAGACCCGGTTGAAATTCACTGGTCACTGCTTCTCAGTAGAACTCTAATATATACCTCCTGAAACCAATCACTAGTGGGTATATAACGATTATAATCAGGACCGATAGGTCCTGGTTTCGAATACCGCGAGGTGGACCGTGGATGCGCTCTGCTGAGGAGTCTCACAATAAGACGAAACGTCCGTCCCATGCTTCCAGGTTTTTCATGGTGGTCTAGCTTCAATTGACTCATGAATTCAACTATTAAAATTTATAAATTACTTACATAATCTATGAAGAAGCATTTACAGAATAGAACTTTCCATCATTCGCTAGAGTTTAGACTTAGTAGACGATGGAATTTCGACATATAAGGAAATGTAATTTATGATTTATAATAAATGAATTTGAATCAAATAAAAAAATAATTCGAAATTAGTAAAGCGTAGAAAAGTGTGGCAAATATCAATAAGTAACCCTATTTTTAATTTCAGTGAAAATTTTAATCATGAAGTTGATGATATTTGTTGTGACTTTAAGCCCGGCTAATTATCACCTGATTTATTCGCCAATTGAAATGCTTCTTATATAATCTTAGTACTGTGCCAAACCAATGACTTCCTATTGGTATGAGCAGCTTCTCATCTTTATTGGTCCTTTTTTCTCCTAGCTCTTCCAGTTGAGTCCAGAACGCCAACAGCAGCTTCCACTATGCGAATCATCTATTTCAAACACACATGTTATATATACCAACTAAACAGGCCACATCACACCATAATATAGAAAATAAAATTTGTGCAAGATTAAGCGAAATAGTGGCTATGAATGTGGGAGACTGTAATCAATAAACTAAACATAACTTAAGAATAGTAAATCGGATAATAATAGTCTATAAGTCAAAATGAAGCTTATTATATATATATATATATATATATATATATATATTAATAGCCCATTAATAGTTTTCAGAAGTTACTCTTAATTTAATCTTTAATAGGATATAACGGTATATAAGTGATTGTAAATTATTATGACTGTACATAATCACCATATATTTGTATGTCCAGATTATATCGCTGCCCTTAAATTGTACGTGGAAATATGCATATTATTGTATATTAATAGGGAAACAAAATTTTTTATTATAGCTCTCAATTATTTGCCGATACTAAGTTCAGTTGTTTTAATGACGTAAACTTGTAGAAATACATTCTTTGTTAAGATAATATCGTTCTTTTTGTTTTTTTTTTCTTTTTGCGTTAACTAAATTTCTTTACAGTGCCTCCCACAGGTACGTCCTATATGTATAAAAAATGTCATACAATTTTGATACAGTTGCTTGCCTTAAATGAATGGTTTAACATTAGCTGATTACAACCATATATATATATATATATATATATATATATATATATATATATATATACTAAATTGTAACATCGAGATAATCATATAATATGAAGCAATCAATATTGATGATGAATTGAATTAGAATAATACAGATTATCAATAATGATTGTATACATATCTATACACGAGCAAGTGTAAGGTCACTTGGGGATGTAATTCACAAAATATGAGGGTTGAGGTATATAACATGCACTGTGTGAGGAATAAAAAAGTTGAGAAAGTTTTACATAAGTTTCATATCGTTTAAACATAGATATAAAAGATTTAAAACAATGATGTGGAAACTAATTAGAATTCGAAAATGAAATGTAATTTAATAGTTATACAAAATTTAAAGAGTTAATTTAAGATCAAATAATTGAATTAATTAAATAAACCGATGATTTTGGCGTGGAAGAATTAGTTTGGCAAAGACTTCATAACAAAATATCCATTAATAAAATACTCACTGATGAAGAGTCCCATACTAGGACGAAACGTTTATCCAGTGCTTTCAGGTTTTCTATGGTCTTCTAATGTTGATCAATTCATGGTCACAATTAAGAATTCAACAATCTCTACAACCTCATAATGAAAATAAAATAATAATAATAATAACAAAAAATGTAGTGATTTCAGGTGACATTAGTCCAAGCTGTGAATTTACCAAAGTAATGATAAGTTGGTTGCTATCTCTTTATGTGGATACCTGATTCAGGTTTGAGTGTTTTAATTACTATTGGTTCAGCGAATCAAAAGATTTAGCTAAAATTACGTACTTACGCCTGTTACTCCTCGTGAAGGAGCATAGGCCACTCACCAGCATTCTCCTATTAGTTTATTAAGTTAATAGCTGGTAAAATATCATTATTTGTCTAATTTTTATTGAAAACTTTGTAGAAAGTTTCAATCCAAGTTCTTGGTAGTTGAACAAGTGACGGGAAATTTTCATGATATTGTCATATTTTGAAACAGTTTCAGTAGATAAGTTGAAAACGTGACGACGTTTGGAGCGAACGGTACCGGGTTCGAGTAACAGAATGAACATCAACACTGAGATGCGGGTACATCCAGCTGACGAGTGTTGAATAGGACGAAACGCGAGTCCTGGATTCCACTGCTAGCCACTATCCAGCCCAAAATACACTCTAAATGATTAGAGGATTTAAATTCTCGCTTTTTGCTTCTGAACACCTCTATATTTAACAGAAATTTGGAAGTTTCTAAATCTATGCTAATCCCAGTATTCAATGTTGTACAACTTACTATAGATAACAAAAAATCATGATCTGAAACATTCTAATCGTTGGAGATATTTTTCAACTAAGATTCATTCAATTCTGAAGTATTTTTTAACTTCGAAAAAAAATCTCTAGAACCATGTTTCTTAATGTTTGTAGTTTAAACATTTTTCTTCATTATAAGTATATATATATATATATATATATATATATATATATATATATATATATATATTAGAGTAATGACTAGAAAGTAATAATTGAAGATATAATTGTTTGTTTGAATGTTTCCAGAAGAAACAATTCGAAAGTCAAGAGCAGAAGTTAAAGTTGATAGAAGAGTTACAAGAACGACACCAGGTAAATGAAATTATTAAGTGTACATCGGAAACATTTATGAATTGTAAAGTCAACTAAATTATAACTATCGATGACTTCAACAGTAATGATATTTGATCATTGTTGTGTTATCATTTAATTAACAAATTACTCAGTTACAATTTTGTGTTGCTTTCTTCAACAATCAAATTTCAGAACATTTTAGTAAAATCTGAGAACCATATATTAAATAATTCATTTGCAATATGTCACTCAATCGTCTCAGACTTTATTGTGCCTTCTTTTCCACACCAATCACTCATTGTTCTACTTTCTTCGATCTTCCTAACCATCTGCCTTCAGACATTTCACTTTCGGTTCATGATACATACTACTTACATCTGTCGAAGTCAATAGCACATACCACATTGTTAACATTAAAAAAAGAAACTTGGTGATCTTAACTAAAATGAAACTGAGTTATTTGTATTAGGTGTAACAAAATAATTTTACATTCAATGTGATAACTTGTAGATCATATAATGTATTTAGATTTTTGTGCTATTCACTTGATACGAAAACTTCTGAACAAAAACACTAACACTATCTGGTAACAGCAATGATCATAAATTTTTAAAAAATCTTATTTATATGAAAAATAAACAATTATGGATTAGTATCAGAAGAGGTTTAGTGGAGATTTTAGTAATTTATATTTTTGAGATCATGAGTCAGTTGAAGCTAGACCACCTTGCTCCCAAGTTTTCCATGTTGGTCTAGAGTCAACTGACTCATGATCTCAACTATCGAAATTATGAACTGCTTTAAACAACATAATAATTTTTAACTTAGAAAAAGAAGATGATGAAGAGGATGAGAAACCAATAGAGAAGAAACATACTAAAAAGCCTAAAGAAGATGATGATGAAGGTCCAGGTGAGCAATGAAACATCTTTGAAATTTACTGAAGTATGATACAAACATAAACATTTATGAGTGAATACATCAAAAAGCTTCATGATACAACGTTAGATATAGTAATCAATGTATATAGACAAATATATGAATTCTACTCAAAACAGAATGAATATAAAGAAAATAAGTTCGTTGGTTCACAAAAAACACACTACTTTACTACATGGTCAAAGTTCTTGGTAGAGATTGGAATAAATAGGTTGAGAAAAATAATAAACACTAAAATTACCACATTTTAGTTACAAGTGACGTGAATAAAATAGCTCATTTATTTTTGAAGGATACACTGATGATAATCTAAAAATATGGTCGATGGAAATTTCCGTATTTGAACACTGATTATGTGCAATATAATAACACCTAAATCTTTCTTCTGAACTATGTTCTTATTTAAATAGAACTAGAACTGTAAAAGTACATACTAGCTTCCAACAAGAAGTTATGCTTAAATAATTTTACATTTTATTAAGTAACACCAGATTATACGGATTTTTTGGTAAGACTATAATATATGGATGACCTTTGAGCAACGTCAAAGTGACCTTGAGAGATTCCACCTGATAACTAGGACCAAATAAATGTTATCAACCATCGTGAGGAATTAGAATTATGATTTACAGTTTATGGTTAAGGTTAGGAATTAGATTTAGGGCTTTCATCATGAACTGACATCAGCTATAATGCCAAAACTCTATTTAACCAAATGGATGAGTGAATTTTGCGCCAAAATCCGAGACGTGTTATTTTATACGTGATTGGTTCGTCTATAAATTATAGCCTTGTCGACTTTTTTTATTATTGGTTATGTAAATTTTATTTTCATTAGAGTATGAACGAGACTTTCAAAGAGAAATCAGAATTGGACGCAAAAGGAAAGGTAATTTTTACACTAGTTACAAAACAAAAGGTTTTATTTTGTTAATTGAATAATTATTACAGTTCAGTTTATCATTACTAAAAGTTATAAATAGGTAATTCAATAATTGAGTTCATGAAGCTAGGTCACCATGGAAAATCATGAGAAATTGCAGTGTGAGACTCCTAAGCAGTACTCATCCACGAGATTAGAACCCAGGACTTATCGGTCTCGTATGCAAACGCCTAGACCACCGAGCTGGTATCCGTTGGTGGTAATGTCTAACTTCAACCAATCCACGAAATTGCGCCACCGTTCACCATTGTCTTCAGTGAGTTACTATCCCACAACAGACTCGGTTGAACTGCACTTGTCACTGTTTCTTACTAGAACTCCAGGAAATACCTTGTGACACCAGTCATTAGTGAGTATACGATTATTATAATCCGAGAGGGGTTTTGTGAATATTATATTGATTTAAGAGTAGAATTCATGAGTTAATTTGAACATAACCCACCATGAAAACCTGGCCGTCCAGTGCTTCCAGGTTTTTCATGGTGGTCTAGTTGCAATTGACTCATGAATTTAACTATTCAATCAATATAATATCCACAAAACCCCTCTCTGATTACAAATAGGTGTTTAGATTATCTTTGATAAATTCTTATTATCAAATCTTAATACAATATATTATGTAATAATTTTTTCAGGCATAAGGTAAATGGGAAAAAGTGTTTACAATTTCTTCTATATTATCTATCCTAATATAAAACTATTTATCTTTCTTATAATAATAGGCAAAAAAATTGGTGAAGAGGTTTCCATAAAATTACCTAAACAAGTTCAGAAATCAAGTAATTTACATTATTCTTCGCCGTTTATTTTAATAATAATTTCTATATCATTAATATGTGATTATAATGTATTATATGCTATTTTATCACCTACAAAGTATAGATTGAAAGAATTCACTTGAGGTTACTTACTTATGCCTGTTATTCATCGTGGAGGAGCATAGGTCGACCACCAGCATTCTCCATTCGACTCCGTCCTGGGTAATCCTTTCCAGTTTTTCTTGAGTTACTATCCATTCTGTTAGTGTCTGCGACCGATTCTTGTTGCAGTATGTTCTATAGCCTTCTGCTTTTCCTCTTCCCTTAAGGATTCCAAGTTAGCGCTTGCCTAGTGATGCAGTTTGATGATTTCCTCAATGTGTGTCCTATTCAACTCCAATGTCTTTGTCTAATTTTTTCTTCAGATGGAAGCTTGTTTGTTCTCTCTCACAGTAGGCTTTTGCTGATAACATTTTTAACCAGAATTATTCATACCTTACCTATATAAAAATTCGGCCTGACTTAGAATAAACAGTTAGAATATGGGTCTATTAAGATATATTATTGTACACAAACAAATGTCTTTATAATACATACTGCCTTGATGTAATTTTCTAGCCATGAGGCTTTTAAGTACTTGAATCAATTTCTGACGTCATAATTGATTTGAACTGATAAGGAATCTGATATTGAGACTAAACCAAGTAGTTTTGAACTGAATCTTTGTTGTCTGGCTTGTTAAAGTATAGAAATAATTTCAATAGTTAAGATCATAAGTCAAATGAAGCCAGACCGCCATGGAAAACCTAGAAGCACTGGACGGCCGTTTCGTTCTATTGTGGAACTCCTCAGTAGTGATCTAGCTTCAATTGATTCATGGTTTCAACTATTGATATCACTACAATCTTTACAAAACCCATTCTGATAGAAATATTTATTTATATATAAAATATCTCTACTGTTATAACTCATTTGTAAATAATTCTTACTTAATAAAACCTGAATGATCTGGTTCATTAATCTATAAATTCTTAAACCGTTTTCAATTTATTGCATAATTAAATTATAACGAATATTAGCAGTCTTAAAACTAAGATATGTTATCTCATTGTAAACACAAACTTCCAGCTGATTCATGGAAATGATAGATCCATTAAAAATAATGTTTTCATTTCAATGAGTGTTTTATTCACTGACATTTTTCAGAAGATTGTTTTCATTATTTATTTGATTAAATGAAATCTAAATTTATGTAAACTAGATGAGCATAATAAATCTAAAACTAATTCATATTATTTAAACTTATCTTTACTTCCGGAGAGCTTATTCTATTCTTCGTCTACTAATAGGTATGATTATTTTTACTAGGATAGCTCTAAACAATGTTTGATCTTCAAAAAGTGAAATGAAGCAGTTAGAACGATTTGTTTCAAACACACAACTTATGTGATGCAACCAGCAGGTAAGGGACAAGAGAGAAATAGGAAAGGAACAATAGTTACTATTCAAAAAGTTCATATAAATACATGAGTCATTTCATTTATGTACTATATCGATAGTTTAAACGATTAGTGTTTTAGTAATGAAGTGGAAAATTTTCGCAAATACGTACACAATCATAGAAGGTACGTTTATGCGATTGTAGGCGAATTATTCAGTATTCAAATAACAGTTTATTCTCACACCATAGAGTTAAAAGTGTTTAATCCTCTTAATTACGCAGATGCCTGAGTACATGGTAAGGTGGCATAGACATAATCTATACGATAATTTAAATGTTTATTACATATAGTTGATCAATGGAACTTAAAACATTTATACTTCACCAATCTGTTTTGTTTTCTGAAAAAAAACACTAGATGATCCAGCTTTTTATAAGGACTAGATGATACACAAGAAGGAAGGAAAAACATTATGGTGTACACAAGTGTTTTTAACATGAAGAAAATCACCGAAAGATAACGTTTTCATTTTTAATATTTTCTCTTAATATTTTTCAAATTATATTCATTATTTAAAAGAAATCTGTATTAGTGTTTTATTTAAACGGTTGGTAGTAAATAAAAGTGAAAGGTAGTATACATGTTTTATTGATTAACAAATTAATATGGTAACTAAAAGAATAAGTGAATATCTTTGGATTATTAATGGTACTGTGTTATATGTTCATGTTACGCAATAATGTTCAACTAATAAGGTCAAAATAAAGTACTTTCATCTTCTAATTCACTAATAATCATAATGTGGTGTGTGCTACTGATGTCGACAAATATAAGTAGTATGTATCATCAATAAAAAATGAAATGCCTCGAGGCACAAGATTAAGAAGTTCAAAGAATAAAGAACGAGAACAGGGAGTGATTGATGTGAAAACAAAGGAACAACAAAGTCTGACACAATTGACTGACATTTTGCAAATGAAGTATTTACTGTATGGTTCTCAGATTTCAATAAAATGTTCTGTAATTTGTGTGTTCAAATACATTGGATTGACCACATTTGTGTTCTCGTTCAGTCAGTCAGTCAGTTACAACGTATGATCAGGCACATACATGCATCGGTCCAAGTCGCCACACCAAATTAATACAGCAAGACGAACAGCGGATTCATAGAAGTAGTTAACTCAATTTTGTTATATATAAATGAAATATTTTATGTAAGGATATAATACAGAAAGAAAGAATTAGTTCGTAGAAAGAAAAACACGAAATAATTTTAATCTCATAGTTTAAAGGGAGACAAAGAGTTTACACACTTGCGCCATTGTGATCAATTCTGAGCCATGTCGCCAAGTCTCCGACCATTGGTTCCGATAGTCACACGGACCCCAACCAAGTAGTCTGCATCTACCGACATGGTTCAGACCAGAAGTTAGTGACTTCAAGCATTGATGCCACGTTTTGGTTTGGCCGCTCCTAACTACAATAATAATAAATTATGTATATAAAACCATTTTCGAGAAAAATGTATTTACTAATAACAGTTGCATAAAGCTTCCGTAAAATTGGTAATAAATAGTGAGGAGTGTAACGTTTGATTTTAAGCCGTCTGGTTGACATCTGTCATACATAATAAAATACACGTCTGTTAGATAAGAAATTAAATGGAACAAACTAACTCGGTTTAATTCATGGTTATCATTTAATTGTAATCGTTCTAAATATTCTGAAAAATAAGCTAAGATCGGTAAAATAAATTGATGGACAATGGAAGATGGTCGTTCAATAAAGTGGATTGGTTAAAATTAGACATTAACACCGTTGAATGTCGACTTAGTAATATAGAGGTTAGTCGTTTGTGGGTCCCATGTGCGGGACCATAGATGCGTACTGCTGAGGAGTCGCATCCCGAAAGGAAAAAGCCACCCAGTGCTTCCAAGCTTTCAATGATGATTTAACATTGATTCATGATCTTAATTAAAACTCAACAATCTCCACAAACCTATACTGACAAACTATATATCTTTATTTCTCAGAAGTTTTATAGTTAAATAGTCTTGTTCAGTTGTTTATATAATGGCACTACACCCGCAAATATAATTTTTTATCAAGGTTGAAAATGTACCGAATAATGTGTTGGAATGCTTTGGAATTCTGGAGCAAGTTGAAAAGAATTAATTGAGCAAAGATGGATAATGATTAGCTATGGAATCCAGAACGCGCGTCTCCTCCTATTCAACACTGTTCGGCTTGATGAGCCTTCATCTCAGATTTGATGTTCGTCCTTGAACTCGAACCCAGTACCATTCACTTCAAGCACCATCACGTTGTCCACTTAGCTACTGAGTCCTGATAACCAATTGCTTGTGCAATGGAATGATGTTTAAATACCAAGAGAATTAATTGAATTTATTGGATTCCTGATGCTTGGTAAAAGTAAATAATAAAATAATATGAGGTCAATTTGAAAATTGAAGCATGCTATGCCATTTTAATTTTCACACTTTTTGGCAGGTGAGTAAGTTTAGTCTTTTTCGTGAGTTCAGGCAGATAGAATTAAATAGGGCTATCTAAGCTTTTGTTTATAGAAGAGAAAGCTTTTTAAAAGGAATTTATTATGTCTGATATGAAATCGCTTAATAATCTCTTTGCAGAAATACTGAATGATTTCTTCTTTAATTGATTATTCAATCTACGCGTCTGACTTACATTTTTATTCTAATAGATAATCTTTTCATATGTGATATTATACTACTAGATAATATGCAGTAAACAATTTTAATTTTCAGTATTTTTGTACATCCAGTGAATGTTTATGTAAGTGTTTACTTAAATCACGTTCTTTGTTGTCTTTTCCATCTTTGACTTGGAACGCAGTTACTTGTTGTTATTCAAACTATCTATTGTGTCGTGCAAATTATTTAATTTCAAGAGGGTTTTTGTGAATCTTATAGCAATTTCACTAGCTGAGATCATCAGTCAATTGAAGCTAGACTACCATTGAAAACCTGGAAGCATTGGACGTCCTATTGTGGGACTCCTCAGTAGTGCACATCCACGACTTGAACCATGACCTATCAGGATCGCTGAGAGCACTTAACTACTAGAACACTGAGCCCGCATCCCACGGTGTTAATGTCTAACTTCAACTAATCCAGTGATTTCAGGTGTTCCATGATCTCAAATATTGAAATTATTTTATTGTAATTATTCTAGGAAACGTGTTTCCCTTCTACATACACCTGTGGGTTTAACGGCACAGGTATCAAAATTGAAATTCGCTCTTTTTTTCGCAAATTTTTATGCAATAACAGAACTGCTTTGTTGATGAGATCATTATTTTGGAGTCTGATATTCTTGTGTGTGATTGAACACCTTGATATATTTAACAGGAGTTTTTTTATAGTGTAATGGCTGTTATCTATAATAAAAATAATACTTAACAATATACTCTTTTCATTAGAGATTTTGTCAAACAACTGTATTATGTAATTTTATCACATGATAACCATTAATAACTTTTATATCTAGAGCTTAGATTCTTACTATACCGCGTACAACTTGAGCACACGAACTCTAGAACATTCCAAGTTGCAGATGACAAAAGACAAGTGAAAGGAATGCTATTCCAAACAGTGTCAATTGTGGTACAAAACTATCAAGTGTTTATAGTTTATCAGTAAAAGCGAAATAATTATTATAGT